TACTACAACACACGTCTGTCGACCTGAGCGGAAATCTGGATTCGGTTATTTGAGAGATCAACAACGGTCAGCGGAAACGAAAGTGAGCGCACTAATTCGTCATCTACACCAAGGGGCTGAGAGTTCATTATACACACACGTTACCACTGCTGCAACAGCAGCAGTGGGTACCTCTGTGTTGAACAAAAAGCAAAGCGTTGCGCGGGAAGCCTCGATTAAGACATCGAGCAAATACTTCTGCGGCAGAGACAGGAGGGAAGACTGTATCAACGGCGAAAGTCGACCGGGAACCGTAGTCCTATTCACCGATTCCCTAAGTGAGGAAAGGGTATTAGGAGCGGGTCGCAAATTGGCCTACAACCGGAGTTCTATTCACCAATTCTCTATTTAAGCGAGAAAAGGGTTTCAGAAGCGGGGTCACGAATCGGCAACCGGAGNTGTTGTGAGGTTATGAGCCTCGCTTGACGCGAACACTAGGAGCTTCTGACATCACGACGGAGGTCAAGACATCCTACTGCTGTGGACTACAACATCCGTCTGTGGACTTCGAGCGGAAATCTGGATTCGGAGATTTGGGAGATCATCAACGGTCAGCGGAAACGAAAGTGAGCGCACTACTTGGTCATCTACACCAAGGGGCTGAGAGTTCATTATACACACACGTTATCACTGCTGCAACAGCAGTAGTGGGTACCTCTGTGGTGAACAAACAGCAAAGTGTTGCGCGGGAAGCCTCGATTTAGACATCGAGCAAATACTTCTGCGGCGGAGACAGGAGGGAAGACTGTATCAACAGCGAAAGTCGACCGGGAACCGTAGTCCTATTCACCGATTCCCTAAGTGAGGAAAGGGTATCAGGAGCGGGGTCGCAAATTGGCCTACAACCGGAGTTCTATTCACCAATTCTCTATCTAGGTGAGAAAAGGGTTTCAGAAGCGGGGTCACGAATCGGCAACCGGAGTCCTCTATATCAATAGAAGGAGCGGGGCTGGAAAAATTTCAGAGACAGATAGCTTATGAGTAATACACCAAAAAAAAATCAAGACGAGATCATCAGGATAAAACCAGAAATGGAAGCAACATCGGGAACTGGAGGCGGAGGCAGTATTTGGAGTGATGGATCCACAAACCTGGCCAATTTCATCAGAGGACTCCCCAAGTTCGATGGAACGAAACCAGAGGAGTTCAACGACTGGATGAAGAAATTGGGTGTAGT